TCCTCCAATTTATGCAGGAGGCCGCCACAGCATGGCCCGACAAGCAGTGCGCGTTGGTGTGCGCCCAGGATCCGAACCAGTGAACCCCGGGCTGCCCTAGTGGAGCGCGCACTTAACCGCTACGCCACGGGACCAGCTCCTTGAGCAGAGTCTTAAAGGAAGAGCAGGATTTCACCAGTGGGAAGGGCGGTACATGCAAGGGCATGGAGCAGCCTAAAGGCATTCGCTCTCCCTGTCCTGGTTTCCCCAGGCCTTAGTAGAGGAATTAGCACTTTCACCTCCTCTCTAACAGAACTGCAGGCTTTTGTGAGCAGATAAGGGAGGTAACTTTTCACTGGTACCCCAGAGAGACACTGCCTTGGACGAGTTGCCTCACCTCTCAGCGACGGGGCAAACTAATTTCTAAGCTCAGGTTTTCTTCTTCGTTTTAATTTGAAAAATAAGAATTCCACCATCACCTACCTGAGCGGATTATTGTAAGAACTGCTTAAGATGACATAACGAGAATCTAGGACATAGCAGTGAGCAGTTAGTGTGACTCCTCTTGACTTTTCCCACCCTAGTGAATAAACTCCCTCCACCCTCTCCTCTAACCTCTTTTCCCAGGCTCTTCCCAATTTTATCACCCTTCTTCCCCCTTCCATCAGACGGCAATTAGCCAATCAGCCTCTACCTAAAAAGGAAACTTAGTCCTGCACTACAGGAGAGAAGATAGGTTAAAGGAACACTGGGGCTTCGGTTGGGGAATGTGATCCATAATTTCCGACAGTTAACATGAGGAAGAGGAGATAAGGATCAACCCTGATGTCAGGGGAAACTGTCCACACGGATACCCATTACGGAAACAGACACTCAGTCTGGTTACGGCACCCTTCCTCGGTACTGCCATTAGACCTGGTTCACGTGTTTTACCACAGCCCTTGATAACTGTTCTACAGTTGTCTGTTTATCTGTCCCTGACCCCAAGTTTGTAAGCTCCTCGAGGACAGAGACTTTCTCACCTCTGTAGCCCTTGCTCCCATCTCAGTGCATGCCCTTTAATGGCACACTATACAATGATTAAAGACTAAAGAAAGCGCAAGAGAAGAAAAACCGCTTATCTTCGGCATGGTTGCAGAAGAGTAAAATTAATTTAGTCATTTGTGTGAATGGTTCCCATTCACAACTAGTCACCATGCCTACATTAGAAAGTTCCTCTACTGAAAACTAAAAATTTGGAGGCCACAGGGCTCTAAACCTTTAATCTCTCCTATTCCTTAGGTGTGGTAAAAACTCCCACCTTGGGTCAGGAACAGAGGGTCACTATACAGGGCATACATATACAGGGCTACCTGCCAGAAACTTGTATTCCAAGGCTATCTTACAGGTCCGAATGAAAATGTCTCCTCCAATATCCACTTAAGCACAAACCCATTGTCCAAAAAGCTATTGCTTATCTCCAAATACATAAAAAGACCGTCTCTTACCCCCCAAGATATTCACACCAAAACGCCCTAATAAAGAACTACATTAAAAGGTAGAGAAGTGAAACCAAAACCAACCACAAAAAGCTGTCTCTGAGATGTCTTCAGAATCTGTGTGGATTATTTACATGTGTGACATTCCTTAAAATGTTAAGAGGGCAAGAACCATGAACTATGTTCTAGAGTACATAGCTCCATTGTGGAGCCTTAGAAAATACGGGCAAACCAAGGATGCGGTGATTTAGTATTTTTCAAGCAGGCATTTGAAAGCCACACTAAAAGACCCCAGTCAGATACTTTATTTCCTTTGGTTTACAGATGAGAAACTTGGGCTCCTAATAAATGTCAGTTAAATGAGGACACAGAATTGGATTCAGTCTGTTAAACCCCCTCTTGCATCTTATTTGCCAGGTACTGGACACGTTCAGATATTATCTCAGTTAATCCTCACATCCACCCTGCAGGGAAGTTTTAGCCTCCCCATTTTACAGTGGCAAACAGGAAGGCTTAGAGAAGGTAAGCCGTGGGCTTCTTTCCTGTCATCTGTAAGTGTTGCCTTGGGGAAAGGCAACTTCTTCCCCTCCAAAATGTCTCAATAACTGAGCACATGCTGTGGGACCAAATGGAGATGTTTCACTGTAGGGCTACTTAACACCACAGAGTGGGAAAGACACGGATTTTAAGGCCAGCTGCATGAAGCTGGAATCCCATCCACACTGTTACTCACCCAGGCGGGCCACTCGGCACACTCACACACAGCCGTGATTCCTCAAACACCCTATTCCCCACCCAAAGTCAGTCTTGCCAAAGACCCTTCAGGAATTCAAGACTTTGCATGTTCAGAAACAGATCACCTTCAGAATCCACAGACCACTTCACAGGACTGGGGAAAAAATAACCACAACTTCCCCTGCACTTAGTTCCTCCCCCAAAGAGCTGTTGAACCTCATCTGGAAACAGCTGGGAGGCAGCAGTTAACAGGAAACCAAACCAAAAGAAAGCACAGAGTGTACCAGGGAGAGTTAGGCAGCTGAACGAAGCAGCCAGGGGACAGACAGGAAGTTGAAGTTAGAAAGAGCCTAGGCCAAAAACAGTCGCACAGAAGAGGAGGCCCAGCTGGCCTCCCTCTCAGCCCAAGGAGAAGGAGAAAACCTGGAAAACCAGTGGTGAAGACTCAAACCCCACTGAAAAGGAAATTACACCACCGTGGAGGTTAAGTCTTCTTTCCTCCCCGCCCCTCATCTCAACCCTACTTCTCAGAAAGCCAGCTAGTGGTCATGATAGGACAGCTGAGGTCAGAAATTCATTTCTGTTCTCGAGCTGCTTTCTGTGCCAGAGGCTACAACACAGACAACTGGTTTTGAGTCATTCCTCTATCAATCTGTACCAAAGTTCCACACTGCCAACTATACTCGGGGGCCATCCAAATCAGCCTCCCATAGAGAGACAAAGAGCATCTTTATGAGAGATTACTAGGCAGATATTCACTGGGGACCTGCAGTGGTTTGGGCACAGGGAATAACAGCAAAGCAAGAGAGCCAGCGGGGCTGGAGGTCCTGAAGGGGAAGGTGAGCGTTGAACCAACCTAAGGATGCATTTTGCAATCAAGAAAGTTAATTGAGCAATGGCCAGTTGCCAAAATATTTCTGAAAGAAGTGAAAAAAAAAATGGCACTACTAAAATTCTTTGGTGTTATTTAATAATAAGCCTTTAGGTTATCCAAGCTGAGGGCAAAGCGGAGACTAGTTTATTTTCTCTTTAGCAGAGCTTAGGTGAGAACTTTCTAGCCCGTGCCTCCTGCTACACACTCATCCATTCTCTCCCTGTACATGTGGAAGTTTATATTAAAATAAAGATGAGGATTAAGTTCTCTTAATAAAAGACATTCCTGTCTTTCACCCTTAGTTTTGTTTGAAAGGGATCTCTCAAAGTGTAGCATATGCTACAATCTAGTTGGGTTTGAGTTCAATGGAAGTGCTCAAAATTTGAGACTGACTAAGCAAGGCTAAAAGAAGGCACAAGGATGTAATCTCAATACCATTTGCTTTTTTGAAAACCAGAACATCTTCACAGGCTCAGTGCCAGCTGAAGCTGGTAGGACCAGAGAATGAGAGCAGAACCTGACCAATGTGCCACGTAAGGGGGATGAGAGAAGAGCTACGGGTAACGTACAATCATCAGGGAAACCTTCAAGAGACGGAAAGGGGGCTGGGGGTGGGGGTTACTTGAGGAACATAACAAAGGAACTAGTTGACTAATCATTTATTCCAGAGGGGGAAAATGCCACCCAGAGCCATGTATCTAGTGTGTTAACTTCAGGTAAATGTGTAATGTTTTAACTTGGATATATTCGGGGCTCAGGACTCTCCAAAAAGGGGGGATGGGCTGCTCCTACTCTTCTTTACACTGCTTCCGGAGTCTCCTAGGAAACTCTTCTGCCTGCAGAGCAGACCTAAGACAGCCCCAGCCAGTCCAGTTACTAATGCAATAACCCCCACTCAGCAAAGATCCTATCATGAGCTTTGCGCAGGGCTGGGCGGCTCTGCACTGCAGCTAGTCCAAAGAAGTTCTGTTGCTGAGGCAGAAGTGACCTGAAGCAAATACCTAACGTACACACTGAGGAAGGAAGAGAGAATGAAAAGACATCTTAATCCTTGAGGGCTAGGCATTTCTGTGACTTAGTAAAAAGGGATCTCCTCCTAGAACCGAATCCACGTGTCAGGATGGTGTCTGGGATGCCTGCCCTAAACACTGACATCCCCATATAATGTTTCAGGGCTGGCCAGAGAATCCTCCAATTTGCCAGGAGGACAGACTGCACCTCCAACAGCTGTGGCTCCAAAAGTCTTCCTAGGAGGTATCCAGGGCCCCTCCCAAGTTGGGGGAGGGCTTCTCAATAAAGGGGATGTGAGGGTACCCAGCATCCCTCTGCTGGGACAATAAGAAAAGTAGCTAACATTTATGGAGCATCCAATTATGTGCCAGGCACTGGAATAAGCACTTTACCTGTCTCATTCCATTCCCACAACAGCCAATGGAGGCAGATACTACTGTCATCCCCTCTTTATGAAGGAGGAAACAGGCTCCGAGATTTGACACAACCATTAAACAGTGGAGCCAGTGCTGAAGCCACCCCTGGACAGGTGGTCTTAACCATTAACTGATATTGCTGGAAACAAAGCATTTGGGGTAAAGGGTGGAGAGAGTAGAGTAACATAATGTGCAACCTGTATTTACATCTCTCTCTAGTCCAAAATCGGTGGCCTGGGGACACTGGAGGGGAGGGCCTGGATTGGGAACGTGAAGCCGGAAGAACCCAAACACTGCTGACAGGGGAAGAGGCCAGGACCCCGGCCGCTCTCGCTTCCTCTGGGGACCCCAGACGCATAAATCCTCCCGAAAGAGGAAGACCCAAAGGGAAGGCATGAAGCCAAGGAGCCCCCAGGCGGCTCAGCCCTCCACGCCTGTTTTGTCAAAGAAGGAAGCCCCGCTCGAGGTGGGGCGGGCCGGGCCCGCCGGCGGTCGCCGAGTCCCTACCTGTAGGCCAGGGTCATGCACTCGAAGAGCTTCGTGAGCGAGGCGTCGATGGACAGGTGGCAGGAGCTGGTCTTGCCGAAGCTGTAGGTCTGGCACGTCTGCTTGTTGACCGTGTCGAAATCGTAGCCCTTCTTGGGCGGGTGCTCGCGGTGCGGCGACGACACCATGAAGTGGCCACTGTGGATGATCTGCTGGCGGCGCGGAGGCTCCTCGCGGCCCGGCCCGGCCCGGGACGGCTGCGGCGCGGC